TTTATTCCTGAAAATACGTTTTCAGTGTTTTCTCGCGTCGGTTACTCTCACACGGCCTGGGGGCGCCCTTGGCCTGCACCAGCCTGCGGGACAGCTCTGTCCTTCCTGGTCAGTCCATGGAGATGCCGCTCACCTTGTTTCAGTGAGCTGCAGGGCGCTGGCGGGTTCTCCTGTTGTGGGGCTCCCTGGACCGGCGGCCTGGGGGTGCTCCGACCACAAGCCTGCTCTCCCTCTCTTCAGGTGTGGGGCCAGACGGGCCCAGGAGGCAGCCGGGGAGGCGGGCGGGCTGGCCCCGGGCGGCCCCTGCCAGGCAAGAGGACACGCGGCGGCTGTGGAAACCTTCATTTGCTAACGACTGGAGCCTCGAGGCCCCCGTGCGGGGCCGTCCGCGGCTATGTTGGGGTGCCCACGAGTCCCGCGGGGCCCTGGCCCAGCGTCTGCCCCACCACGGCTGTCTCCAGCGGCTTGAAGCCCACGTTGTCCAGGGGGATCCCGAAGGCCAGGAGCTTGGCCTCGTAGGTCCGCAGCAGGTCGTTGTGGGCCTGTGGGCGAGGCGTGGGCACCGCTCAGCTCTGCCCGGTCACCGCACAGCGGCAGCCTGCGCCTGGCCCCTGGCCCCAGGCGCGGCTCCTGCCTGGCCCCTTCCCTGCGTGTCCAGCAGTGGCCACTTCCTGACCACCCACCGGGGCCCACAGCCCTGGCCCCATTTCCCACTCTAGGAAGTGGGTCTCAGGAAGGCTGGGCTCAACGAGGCCTGGACAGTGTGTGAGTGTCCAGCTAGCTCCGCAGAAGCACCACAGGGCAGGACCCAGACCAAGGCCACGGTGAAGCAGGGCTGGCCGCAGCACGGCCGGGCCTGCCCCTCCCCTGTGGCACATCCAGCCACAGGACCCGGGGAGGCGCCGGGCGTGGGGAGGGGCCGGGCAGCCTGGTGTGCCGCCCCACCCGCTGGCACAGCCTCTCCCGCCTCCCCTTCCGGGGGCCTGAGCCCCTCACGGGCAGCTCCTGCTACGTGTGCCTGGGCCCCGGGGGAGCCAGACCCGGTCAGTGCTGACCCCGCCCCCGTGCGGGCGTGGGCCTTCAGCCTGGGAGGACCAGGCCGCTGTGCCTGCCGGCGGTGGCCAGCCCTCCGTCGCCAGAGGCGGCCGCACCGGGGTGGAGCCGGCCGGGAGGCCACTGGAGGGACAAGCCCCGGGTGCGGGCACGCGCCACCCACCCAGGGCCCCAGGACAGGCCGGGAGCTGGCAGCCGCTTGGGGCGGGAGAGAGCGGCGGGACGGGGCCCCGAGGGGCTGCGGCTGGTGCCCACCTTGCAGACGCGGGCCAGCTCGTACTGCAGGTCCTTGATGGTGCTGTTCTTGGAGTCCAGGACGTCCTGGGGGGGAGGGGCTGGGGTGAGGAGGCGGGGGGCAGGGGCTGGGGACCCCCGGAACGTCCCATGGAACCGCCTCCAGGGTGAAAGCCACAGGCTGGCTGAGCTTGCGGCCCTGGACCAGCACAGCTCGGGCTTCCGGGCTGGCCACTGCCCAGCGGAGAGGACAGGCGCCTCCCCTTCAGCACCAGGGGGCAGGCGCAGCCCCGAGCCTGTCCCTACCGGGCCCAGCCCAGCCTCCGGGTGCAGCAGGGCCAGGGCCCCTCGCCTCAGCCTGCACCCCCAAACTGGGCCCCACCCCCACCCGCGCCCGGGGCCTGCGGG